TATGCAGCTGAAATTGTGATATTTTTTCATGTTTCTCACACCACTCATTTAAACGATTTGTCAAAAGCATAGTATACAATTTTAAACCGGTGTTTATTAGGGAAATAGGTCGATAATTTTTTGGATCAAGTTTATCGCCTTTTTTGTATATGGGTGAGATAATAATATCCGCCCATCCATCTGGGATTTGTTGACTCTCCCATAATAAGTTTATGCTATCTAGTAATATAAGTCTTTGCATGTCATTAAGTCCCTTCCATGCTTCATTTGGGATACTATCCGGCCCGGGCGCTTTTCCAGTACTTAATTTCTTGATAACAATATTTAGTTCTGCAGATGTGAAAGCTCCATCCGTATCGTCATTAATTATACTGAGTTCGTCATTTGGAAGTGTGTCCTTTTGTTCATTTGTGTCGAAAATTTTAGAAAAATGGTCATGAAATGCTACAGGAGTAATTGTTTGATCATTGTCGTAATTACCATTACAGTTCCGCTTTGACCTATAGTAATTAATCGCTTTCCAAAAGTCCGACGAGTTTTTAGCGTTACAAAGTGAACTTTGAATTGCATTGAAAAATTTTAATTTCTTCGCCTTCTTAAGATTGATATAAGTTCTCTTCTTCTGTAAGAAAATCAATTTTAATTGGTCTTTTTCTAATTCATTCCCAGCTTTACGAAAATTACGAAGACTACTATTGAAAAGCTTCTTCTCTAACAAGCATTTTTTATCGAACTATCTTGGTCCATACGTTATATTTTTTACTCCTAATATTCTTCTCTTCAACATTTCACATGAATCTATTCCTTTAAGCATGCCCTGTTGAAATTTATCAATTGTGATATTACTACTCTCGCAGTTTTCCAGGATGTTATCGAAATTGTCTTGAAATTGTCCGATTTTATGTACATCCCATTCTACCCTGACTATTTTTGTGAGAGTCTCAAAATGTGGTACTGCATTTAATTTTAGCATGATAGGGAAATGACAAGACTGCTCGCTGGACAAAACCTTGAATTCTTTCTTATCTGTTATTGATTGAGAGGTGATACACAAATCTACAACGCTTGAACCATTCTTATTAACAAAGGTGAAGTCACCGTCTGTACCATGCTCTCCGTTACCATTCAGCAAACTAAGATTATTTTCCTGTATTATTTTAATAAGCTTGGTGCCACGTAAATTAGTGACTTTGTCCTTGGATTTACTTGTATGATTTCCTGTTCTCGAATTAAAATCACCCATGTATATGCAAGAAATCTGTGCTGAATCTACTGCCTGAAATATCTCTTCTATTTCGATGTTACTATTAGGGGGTAAATAGCTAAAAATAATGATTACTTTCCTAAAATTATCGTTTAACTGTATGACGCTATATTCATTCTTCATACATATAACTTTACTAAAATTAACTATGCTATTTTTTATACCAATGTAGTAACCCATCGATGCTCTTCCTTTGATTTTGATTTCACAGCTTTCATATCAAAAATTGTATATCTATTTGTAATTTTACTGTTTAACATATAGTCATCAACGTGCCATGTTTCACAAAGGAAGAATATCGTTGGGTTAAACTCGATTAATTCATTATAAAATAAGATATTTTTAGACCTTATACCTTCTATATTCCAGGAAATTATATTAAAGTTACTGATCCTTGATTGTTGTGTTAATTGTAGAGGCCGGCCGTATCGTCACGTCATTTGTTTTCCATCCTCCACAATTTGATTAGAGTCATTTATTGTGTACCAGGTTGTAGCTCCTTCCGTTGTAATTTTCACCCGTTTCTTGTAACATCGGAACAGCAGGTCCGGTTTTTCTTTCTTCATGTTTCTCGCAAATTCTCTCAGTTGGGAACGCATCTTTCTTTCCTTGGGTGCCAGATCTTCATCAATAAAAATATTGGTTCCGCTCAGTTTCATGCGAAGGGACAGGATTTGTGCTGCGTCGCGTTGAAGAGCAACGAATAGCTCTAGCTCAAGCAACGAATTCAAAAGAAGTTCTAACGTCCGCTCAAGTGAACGATCGAACGCCTCCAGCTTCTCAATATTTGGCTTTTTCCTTTTAAACTCATAAACTAAAAATGCAATGTCAAGCCCAATGAATACCGGAGCCGTGGCAGCCGTTGCTATGCCAACTTTTGACACAACTTTTCCCACCGTTCCAAGCCCACGCAAAATTCGAAAGTTCGAGATAAATCGTACAGCAGAGAAAGTTTCAGACGCCGCAAATACAGTTCTTGCTGCGGCTCGTGTCCCAATGGAGGCCGCCGCTACGCGATGCACCTGTCAAGAAAGTACGATGAAAGTCCATGCGTCAAGGTATATACACGATGACGGGGTGAAGTGCTACTGATATTTTTTCTCCATACATATACGGTTCTAAGCGGGAATTTGTAAAATGAATTCAATTCCATTCAATACAAAGATTTCAGTTAAAGACAGCTTGTACCTATTAGGTATAGGTATTACTTGCAATTAGATGTAATTTTTAGTATTATATACATATGTAATAGAGGTCAAACAGGTGCACCCGGTTAAATCCGACTTGCATGGAACCGACTATGTTTGTAGTAGTACATATACAAAAAATTAACTACACTTTTAAGTACCGTAAATTAAGCAAATCTGAATCCTCGTGAAGAAACTGAATGGATTTTAGAAATTCCCTTGTAAAAATAGAGAAAGGGGTACGTTGAGATGAAAAATAAATGCATCAACGCGTCATCCTTTACCACCTTTACCGGCCGAGTTTAGTAGCTACCTATGTATTTGAGGTGACAAAACGACATTGTGTTTTAATTTTGACACCCTATTGCTTACCTGTTGTGATCTCGTCCACCCAAGTTTAAGCAGCATGGCGAAATGCTCGGAGTTATAATTGGCCAAGCTATATTTTCTTTCGCTGCCATGAGCCAATTGTTTCCTCGCACGTTTGACCGTTTCACTAACCGGAAGTTCTAGGCCGTGATAATTCCTTCGGCGCAATTCACGAAGGCCTTCTCCTTTAAGAAATTCCTTCATTTCCTTTAATTTTACGCCATCAACCCAAAAGTCCAGCACTTTAAGTTTAGAACCATCCAAGATACAAATCCCGTGATGTGTGCCCAAAAATTGCATGACAGGGTCCGACAGAGGTCGCATAATATAGTCACCCTCTCTAAATGTTATTACATATTTTAGTTATGTGGTGGTAAACAGAATTGATGTTACACAAATATTCACGGTTTCTGTTCTATGGGGCGGTTCATAAGTTATGTTAGGCAAGAAGAGGTTAGGTTTGGACGGTCGAAAGCTTGAATGATATCGTGTCTAAGCGAGACAGGTTAGATTTTGGGGCGAGGAGGGGTCTAGAAAATCGCGATTCCCTCGTTACATAATTTATGAACGCCAATTATTTAAATTTGATACGAATTACTTCAGTTGGTCAACCGTAACGTCTTCATCAGTTGGAAGGCAGTATTCTATCACAGAATCCATAAATTCGTACAAGTTCGGAAAACTGTTGAGAAATAAAGCATTATGTCAGCCAAAATTGAAAACTATTTACGTAATTACAAGTAGGAATTTGGTATTTTATGCGCAGAATAAAGATTATCAAATGTGTACAAATATAAGCGTAATAATATGTATAAATTTATCAATATTTGCAGTGAAGAGATCAAGAACTTATACGCATAATAAAAATTATTAATTTTTATCAAGTGTGCAAGAGATTCAGAAATAAGCCAATTGTTTTTCAACAACCTGACGCAACTTTATACTAGCAGCTAGACGATGTTTACAGATTTTTTGAAACCCATCCAGTTTTTTGGAATACAATACAAAAAACAAAAACTTGTTTGACATCAATTACCGCAGGTTAAAATAACAGAACCCTTTAACTCCTTACTCACCATTCTTTTCCATAATCTCCCAGCTCTTCTTGTAAAATTCCCACGACTTTTAGAAATTTAAGCGTTTCTTTGTTTAAAACTTCGAACAGTTTTTGTATTTCGTCCTTGTCGTCCTTCTCCAGGAGTCGGTCGACAAGTGTGGTCCCCAAATTGGTGGCTGCGCCCGCAATGGCTACGCCGGTGCCGACCGCCATGACGGGTAGCGCCACCACGGCGACGCCAAGTGTGGCAACGGCCGTCGCCACGGCGGCGACAGTTCCTCCCATGGCGGCTGCAACGGTTCCCACGGTGGACGAAATTAAGCAATTTTTCCCGTGTAATCGAGCACTTTGCAGAAGGGCCGTATTTTTATCGAATATACGTTGTACGACGGGAATGTAGTCATTTCTAAGGAAAATGATAATATTTCTGATTTCGGTATCCATTGGAGCAGAAAGTTCGTGGGGGGGTTGCCGGTTATGAAGTAAAAATGCGACTTATGTTCATAAGATGGACAAGTTGTGGTAGATCGACAAATAAAATCGTCGGTTGATCGTTTATTTGACTGTTGTGGATTAAAAGTAAATATGTATGAATGCCATAAATATTTGAACTGTTGTTAGTGATAAGATATTACAGATATATTTACTTATAAATGGACATTCATAATATGCAGTATCTTATGGCATATTACCTTAAATACTCTGTTTATTGCCGGAAAAATTGAGAGAAAGGGTTTTGAAGTATGTATCGCTGGTTGAAAATTTTGCCTGCTTTTATATGCAATTGGGTCAAATCATGAGCCGTGTTGGCGGGTTCACCGGATGAAGTCAGTGATTTGCGTAGTTAAATTGTTAATCACAAAAGATAAACTTACATATCGATACTTGTAAGAGAACGAACAAAAGAGTGTTTGAAGTTTTTGGTAGAAATTTGATACGTGAAAACTGCAGCACGTGCTCTACGCACGGTCCCAAGGGACAACATGATAATGACTCTTACATATAATTGATCACTCGCCAGGGCGGATGTGATCGTATTAGATTAAAAAGTTTACTGTCATGTGATACTGAAGTATTTGCGTCAATGGTGGCGAGCAACCCGTTCTCAGATTTAATTATCAAGGCAATTTATGTAACAGTTAAGTGGGCCAAAAAATAATCAAAACTGTGTAATAAAAGTATTTGTTTATCTATGTATCGTTGAGCAGGATGAGCAAAATGTATATATGAATATATACGCAGATAGTTTGATTACTCAAAGTGCAGTTGCAAGAAATAAACATAAAATCCGTAATTATCACTACAAGAAATTATGGTTAGTTTATTATATTCGAAGGCAACTTACATACTCTTGGAAGATTGGTAGTAAATCGTTATCGACCGGAGTACATAATTTATTCATACTGTATTTATGTAGATAGTCTATTTATCGCCCGGTCTAAAGACAACACTGATCTGGCTACAATTACTAACCGGGTATACTTGGAGACCCGGGTAATTTTTTCTTCGCTTATGCATACTTTGAGAATTTAAGAACATGCATTAATGCTAAAGTTACATAGAAACAAGTTTATTAAACAAACAAACACGCACTAAATATACAAAGTGTAAATGCAAATACAATCAACTATATAAAAAATCCGTAGAACAATGTATTTAGTCTAATGCGTTTTTAAAATTATGAAAAGTTACAATAACTGGGCAATTTTATAAATTAAATCTTTATTTTTTACCGATAAGTTGTGCTGCACACTCATTTACATTTACATATTTACGCACATGTACATATTTACGAGTTAATTGATACATGCAATACAAACTTAAGTATATGCAAATGTACTAAAGGTCTTATTTATTCACACACATATGAGCGAAAAATTGTGTCCCAAGTATTTCATTTAATATTTAAAGGTTTTCCAAACTGGTAAAATTATGTATTGTTTTATAGGACATCAATATCACAAGAAACGCAAATCTCTACCACACCATTGTTCGGGTTAGCGATTTCTGCTCTTAATTGCACTGTCTGTCCGGACACGACGTCATTCGGGATGAGAGAATACCTCACCGTGTAGTGGGGTCCTGGTGCGACGGTGATCAAGTCCGCGTTGATAATCTCGACGCAGGTGCCGTCATGCAGGCAAATATTAACCTTTAATCTGAGAGATCCACTCCCCGAGCCGTCTGCCAAAGGATAAATATTGTAAGAAATTTTAACCACGATATGTAGAGCGTCCATATATTACATCATAAAAAACACCGATTTTTAGAGCCACCCCTCCCCTATCTTACTCATCGTTAAGTTCAACGCGGGTAAGTTAGGCGGCGAGAAACCACCCACTCACCTTTCTGATAACGTAATATATCGACGTTCCCAAAGCAAAATATGTATAGGGCTAAATTTTACATGGGATAAAATCTTGTTCGACTCGGTAAACTTGGCCAGGTTGTACTTGGCAGTATCCTTCGCAGTCGGATACCCTGGTTTCCCTATGGGTTCCCTTCAATACAGACAATAAGCATGGTTACATAAGCAAATGCGTGCATACATAATGAGCGTGTACTCATGTCACAGCTTTTTTATGCCTATGTTGTCATAGTTTTTAAAATTATTTTACAAAACGTACGGAAGTTAGATATGTACATTCTGATAGATGTGCGAATTGATTCATAATCCTGTTCAATAAACATCCTAGGAAAGTTTTACTGCATTATGGAAATTTTAAATTAAAACTAACATCCCACGAAATATTTATTACCACCGTGATCCCTCGTGGTAAACAATCGAGTATTATCGCCAATAATTATAACCAACCGGAAACAAATTGCTGGACTCAGTCACCAAGAATAATGTACACGGGAAATATTCTGTTACAATTATGGTTCAAAAATTTTGGAGATAAGTAACTAACCATTCCACCACAACGGGTCACGTTGACGACTCCGGCAGAGGCGACGGCAACGCAGGAGAGTGCTAGAAAAATGGCGATTCTCATTGTTACCCAACTTTACAAAATATTTACATAAAACAAGGGTAAGCGAGAAAAGCTTGGAGTATCGCTGGGTGGAAATTCTGCCTGCTTTTATACGCAATTGGGTCAAATCATGTGCCCTGTTATCGGGTTCGCCGGATCAATTTAACAATTTGCGTAGTCAAACTACTGGTCCAGAAAGATAACAGAACGAACATAAACGTGGTGTCAATTTTCGTGGAAATTTGGTACATAAAACCACCCCAAGATTCTTTACGTACGCTATGAACGGTCCCCATGCACATTGTCGAAATGTCTCTTAAATATAAATGATTACAGTAAACTTTTTAATCGAATATCATATTCAATTAGATAAAAAGCTTACTGTGATGATGTTCAAGTATTTGCGTCAATCGTGACGAACAACCCTTTTGTCGGATTTATTTATCAAGGCAGTTGTAATGTAGGAGTCAAGTGGGCCAAAAACAATTAAAACTATGTTTTCCGACAATTGATTTATCTACATTAAGACTACAGAATTTAAGAATTTATCTACAGTAAAACTGTTCTATTTTACGCATTGGCCACGATAACGGCTTGAAAATTTGCAAGGTGGTAGCCTAGCAGCACACGATGAGAAATGTAGCTTTGTTAGACCATATATTCCTTATCGTTTGGCCTAGAAGGACTATAGTTGGATACCGTTCCTGTTTTTGAAAAATGTCGAAAGGGTCATGCAGACTAGCATATTATGATGCCGGTTATAATTAGATTTGGTATTGTTTCGATAACCCTTGTGGAAATGGTGATGAAAAAATAGTTCGCCTTAAACTTATGCTCTTGACTGTAATCAAACATTTGCATAAAGGGATAATGTACACTCTCATATATAAGTCTGAGCGCAAGTTTGCATTTTATTTTGCTTACAATATATTTTTGTTGTTAGTAAATATTTTTACTGAAATTGTAAAAAATGTATGTACATTTCTTCTACAAGACGTCAATATCACAAGAAACGCAAATTTGTACGCCACCCGTGTTCAGGTTAACGATTTCTGCTCTAATTTGTACCGTCTGTCCGGACACGACATCATTCGGGATGAGAGAATACTTCACCGTGTAGGCCGGCCCTGGAGCGACGGTGATCAAGTCCGCGCTGATAATCTGGACCCAGGTACCCGTGGAGTTAAGGAGAATATCAACAAATAAGGTGAGCGATCCACTCCCCGGGTTGTCTGTCAAATG